CAGTCCGTTATCTCGTTAGCTTAAACACCAACGTTCTGAATGGAGATGTCTTCCTTTAGAACTTGTCCCACTCATCCTCCTGCTCTCCTCCCTTTAACAGATGTTCTCCCCATTATCTCGTTCGCGTTTCTCCTCATCTCCGTCGCGCTCCCCTGGGAAAATGGAGGTGGACGATGACGAGGAGCGGGAATGAAAGTCAGCAAATTATGGGAGACGAAAAAACACAAACAAAGCGAGCAGGAGCGCGCACGCCTGCGTTTGACATCTCAGTAAAGCACAACACAAATGGAAGTCATGCATCAGGGGAGAGATCTGCTAAAACTATCAACATTACTCACATACTCACTCACAACATGACACGGGCAGGAACGCTAACTTTGCATGGGCTTCTGTAGGAATTAAAGGGGGAAGAGTACCAGCCTTATTTAGAGGCAATGTGTAAAGCCAAAAGCCATTTTTGGATGGTTGTACTTCTGAAACGGTGCCTGTACGTCCAAGAATGTCAACACACACCTTCTGCTTTCCTCGTTCATCCATTTCTTTGCAAAATAGCTGGATAATTAGCCTCTAATCTGCCATAAATAACGTCTTAATCTTCAGATTAACATTCTGATTCGACGTGGGTAAAAAAAAAAAACATCAACACACAATCAGCCTGTTGATCTGAACCTGGTAGAGCTCACCCACCACTAATCGCCCTCACAATCACACACTTTAGAGTAGACAACAAAGAGCTGTTTCTTGACTTTCTTCCTGGTGAGCAGGAGAAGCTCAATGAGGTGTGTGAGGCTCCTGAGGCTGGCGGTAGAAACACTTAAGACTTTCATTCCTGCAGCTTCAGACCTCAGGTCCGCGATGGAAACGGCCGATAGGACCGGCGAGGTCGTGTTTCACAGCTGCCGGGATCCATCAGCTGTAAGAGGAGATGGAAATGGAGGATACGTTTAACCTCTTTTACTTAGTGTGGTGATGCATGGATCCTATGGGGTCTCGTTGGTGTTCACAGGTGGCCTGCAGTGTTTCTACAACAGAAACTCTCGTAAAGGTCAGTAATCAGGGTCTCCAACAACATAAACGCTACTTGGGATTGTTTGAAGACGTGCCCCCAAAGGCCATGGCCACCGCTGGATAATTGTCAGGATCTGCTCGTTCTCCGTCTGATGTGTTGTCCTGTCTCCCCACTTTACGCGTCTAAAAAGGACCAGAGCGTTTCAAAACGGGACTAGCCGCGGCACCCTGGGGAGGATGTTGGCATTTATAGTAGCAAAGCTGAAGCTAGAATAAACTACCATCAGGCGCCTCTCCAACCAAGACGGGATATGGGGAGGTCGCTGGGCGGCCCCCCTGCATGAGACGTACAGGGCCGCGCATTCAGCGTCAGACACGTCAGACTGGTGACCCCTCCGGTAGTGCTCGTCTTTGTCGGATCTTCGTCTCGTCTTCCTCCTGCGTCGTCCCACCCACCATTATTCATATTAAACAGTTCTTTTGCTTGCCAGTCGGCCTCCTGTTCCTGCTCACCTGCATTTGGGTCCTACTGCAACCGCCTCTACATCATGACATTTGTTGGCCACCCTAATGGGCCCCCAGGGAAGACCCCCACACCCCAACCCCAAACCACACATTCATCTTTTAATCAAGACATAAATTGTAAAGCTAATTAATAACTTTTATTTAAAGAGGTCCTTCACTCATATTTGTAATAATTTGCAGTGGTCTCATGTAGGAACAAAAGCCTTGAAAGTTGTATTCAGGGCAAAAAGCTCAGATGAACCCGTTTTAGGAACTAGAAGTGAACAAGATCAGAGTTGACAGGATTTGGAGTCTTATTTACTGACATTGGGACATCTCTCCTCTGATTGGCTAACAGCAACACGACTTCCACTGGCTCTGGTTGCGCTGCAACGTTGATGTTTTATCTCCACAAATAGCACAAGCCTGGAGGAGTTCTGCTGTGTGGTGGAGTAACTAATGCTAACAGTTAGCTTCCACTATCAGAGACGTTCTCTGCTGTTTCCTGGACGCTAAACCAACGACAGCCTTCCCCATCGTCAGTCAAGATGGGTGAGTCCATGAATGTTAGTGACAGGGTGACGTAGATCTGTCAGGATTTTCTAATCCTAGAGTTTCACCGTCTGTTTTCTGTCAGAAGCTAATGCTAATGCTAGGTGTAGGAGACTATTTTCATGTTCAGCCTGCATGAAGCACTCAGACTTTCAAAAATAATAAGTAAAAATGGTTTCTCAGTGATAGACTTCTTCAATAAAATATTGATAACTAATTTATTTCATAAATTACATTTAAAGAGCAAGTCACCCCCAGATCACATTTTTTTTGCTGATAAACTATATTAACGAGTGTCTAATCGTGCTGTAGACATGTGCAGTGAATAATTTGGCAGTTCAGTGCATCTTGGTTAAAATTCAGATATTCTGCCTAAAACTGTCAGTGTCGCGGTGTCGTCAGGGAAAAATTCTGCACTGTATTTGAATTTAAATCTGCCACCGCTATTGGCTAAGAGGTATGCTATAATGTTAGCTGGTACATTATGATGTCACAATGCCATTGTGAGCCTGTGTGTGTGTATTTGTTAGCGGCTCCGCCCTCTCGGTCTGCCAGGCAACAGCATTTGTTGCATTTTTCAAACATGAAGTGGGAGTGAAGTAAGTTTCTTGTAGGGGGTGACTTGCTCTTTAATATGTCACTGAGGATCACAATTAAGAAAAAGTATAAATCCAATCTTTTTGTGGATATTTTTGTTGAATAAAGAGGAAAATTAAACTGTTTTGAAATGATAAAACAAAAACATTTGAAACAACATCTCACATGACTTTAAAATTTTGTATTTCACTCTTTTTTATGTTTGCGTTTCTCAAATTTAGGGTAAACGTTTCACAGGCTTATTGTTTTTTCATGAAAATAATAAAGGAGCAATGCAACGCACAGCTACAAGATAAACTGTCTTTAATTTGTCATGCAGCGTTCCACAAATGTGGAACGACCAACCAAGCACTACAAGAACAGGGGCTTCCTTTTCGACTTTCAAGATTGGTTGTTGTTGTTGTTATTGTTGTTGTTAGCCTCAAGGGCAACATGCCGATTATCAATTGTAAGTCGCTTTGGAGAAAAGCGTCTGCTAAATACATAAACATAAACATAATTTGGTGTGCCACCCCATAATTTTGCCTTAACCCCCTCCCCCCCGTGAAAATTTTCTAGGTGCACCACTGGCTATAAAAGGGAAGAAACGACTGAAGTAATGTTTCCAGAGTATATTTTCACACTCAGTCTTTTAATCCAAGTTTACACAACATGATTTTCGTGTTGACAGATTGTTTTACTGAGAATAAACAGAAGAGTCTCATTTGGTAATTGAGGGGTTCAGGATGTTTGTGGGCTTCTACTAACAAACAACACGGGGGTCGAGTTTTTTACACGTTTCTTCTCTCTGGTCTTTATCAAGCGGTCACAGCTGTTTCAGCATTATGTAAACAAGTTTGTCATCATCAGAGCACGACTACATGATTTTCAGCTGCTGCAGGAGTTTGTTGCCAAATTGTGAGCTCGGATTTGGCTTTTAAGCTAAAATACGGCAACGGTTTTCTTCCCGTGAACCTTTCAGATCCCAATTTCTGCCCTGCTCTCTCACTGGCTATCTCACTTAACTTTATGAAACAATTTTGAAGTTGATAATTACTAAATGAAATAATCTCAAAATTGTAAACAAACAATCCTCATTATATTTGTTTTATTTACAGTATAGAACCCTGAAAACACTTTAGTTGCTAACCGTTGCTGCATAAATGCCAGCTAAACTGATTAGGGATCAGTTTTGGTGAACTTACTACACGTATGTGAGACGTATCACGACTTTAATCATGAAAGAATGAATGACAAATAGTGACGGCCAACTTGAAAGCAATTTGGTGCAGACAACAAGCAGAATAGGCTTCAAACGTGGAGTAGCGAGCACAGAATTAAATTCTTGTCTTTGATGGTAATTTTCATTTGAAAAACATGGATCTGCTCCTCCTCCAGGAACCAGCTGAGGTGGCTCAGGCATCTGGTTAGAAAGACTCCTGAACACCTCTCTGGTGAGGCACGTCCAACCGGGGGAAGACCTAAAGGACGACCGAGGACACGCTGAAGGGCCTCTCTGCTGACCAGGGAACACCTTAGGATTCACCTGGAAGAGCTGGCCCAGATGGCTGGGGAGAGGAAAGTCTGGGCCTCTCTGCTGCTGCCTCCACAGTCCGACCCCGGATAAGTGGAGGGAAAATGGGTGGGTGTAGAGGTAGGTAGGTAGGTAGGTAGGTAGATGATGGATGGATGGATGGATGGATGGATGGATGGATGGATGGATGGATGGATGGATGGATGGATGGATGGATGGATGGATGGATGGATGGATGGATGGATGGATGGATGGATGGATGGATGGATGGATGGATGGATGGATGGATGGATGGATGGATGGATGGATGGATGGATGGATGGATGGATAGATAGATAGATAGATAGATAGATAGATAGATAGATAGATAGATAGATAGATAGATAGAATAAACCGATACGCTTCCCGTTTAGGTGACTGAGACCATTTTTTGCAAATCACTAAAGTTTATTTTTCATTAAAATTTCGCACAAACGTGTTTTTCTGCCATCATTTGTTTTTGTTTGAATGTTTCAAAGCAGCTTTTGTCAGATGAAACTGAGATTGGTCCTCATCTTCACTGGTAACTTCACAGAATCCCAGTTTTGCACTCAGCTGTCCGAGCGTTTGCTTTCTTCTCCTCAGCTCAGCCAGAGGTTCTGCTCGGTGGTTTTCTGACACAGAATCAGGGAGGATGTGGACTTCAGCCTGGTCCATCCATAACATTCAGTACTGTATAATATACATCACCCGCTGTTTGAGCTGAAATGGTCATCCAGTGGTTTCATTTCACTTTTATTTGAGGAAGAAACAAAATCAGAAACAAGAGAAAAGTAGTCTATCTTACCTTGCAGGAGGAGGATAAACTCCAGGCACAGCAGGTATTTGCGCAGCTCCATTTATGAAACTGTATGATGCGAGTCCTGGTATTTAACTTCCTTCTTTGTTTAGTTTTAAAAAGTGGTCTCCGAAGCTGGAGGGAAGTTAATGCTCCTGTATCCACCACATATCCAGCTCTTTGTTCCTTGGAGAGATGCGTAAAAGCCACTCGTGAGCTGCTATGCCATTTTGGCGCACGAGCGCGCTTACAGAATGGTCATCAGGTTATTAAAAAAATAGTTTTTTAAGAAAAAAGTATTCCTATGTGTGAGTTTGGTCTGTCTGGTGCGTCCTGCGCAATGATCTTTATGTCTTTATGAAGATGTTTCTGTGCTTGGGGAAAATCTAAGTTGGTCCATGATTTGTCATCAAAAATCACCGCACCTGTTCATCCAACCACAGAGTTCAGTCGTTCACCTTGTCGGACCAATCAACTGCAGGTTTTCTCCCAGCGCGTGTCCACGATCAAAAACACAACTTTAACAACCCGTCGGACACGTTTTCCACGGTCTATCCTCCACGATCCTCGTCGCCAAGTGTTTTAAATTTACAGCAAAAACTAACTAAAAACTTTTGCTCCCACGCGTCCCTATCTGTGCAAACCCGTGCGTCTGCGTGGTGAAAGAGCGCATTTGTCCTGACCCTCACACCTCCTGTCGCTCCATCCGTCCACCGACATCCACTCCTCTCAGAGCAACCGGATCCCACCGACAAAGCTCCAATTTAGGCTGCATCTCACTCCCTCCTCCTCAAGTCTTCAGCTGGCTTATCTGGGGCGCCGCCCGGTGGTTCATAATACCACCAACAGCTTCATTTGGTCACTTTGAACCAATTGTAGCGCTTACGTCACTCACCACATTGTGTCAGAAATGATAAAACTAGGACTAAATGATTGGACATAAATAATAAACGTACGTCTCAAATGTGAAGTTAGATTATGGTAGTGAAATTATATAAAATATGTTAATTCAGGCTGCCACTAAGCAGAAAAACTACCAAAGTAAAAATAGGGAAACAAAAACCTACCAAAGTAAAAGGAGGTAAAGAAAACCTACCAAAGTAAAAGCAGGTAAAGAAAAACTACCAAAATAAAAGCAGGTAAAGAAAAAACTACCAAAATAAAAGCAGGCAAAGAAAAACTACCAAAGAAAAACCTACCAAGGAAAAAGCTGGTAAAGAAAACCCTGCCAAAGTAAAAGCTGGTAAAGAAAAACTACCAAAATAGAAGCAGGCAAATAAAAACCTACCAAGGAAAAAGCTGGCAAAAAAAAAAACCCTGCCAAAGTAAAAGCTGGTAAAGAAAACTACCAAAGTAAAAATAGGGAAACAAAAACCTACCAAAGTAAAAGCAGGTAAATAAAACCTACCAAAGTAAAAGCAGGTAAAGAAAAACTACCAAAATAAAAGCAGGTAAAGAAAAAACTACCAAAATAAAAGCAGGCAAAGAAAAACTACCAAAGAAAAACCTACCAAGGAAAAAGCTGGTAAAGAAAACCCTGCCAAAGTAAAAGCTGGTAAAGAAAAACTACCAAAGTAAAAATAAGTAAACAAAAAACAAAGTCAAAGCTGGTAAAGAAAACCCTACCAAAGTAAAAGCAAATAAAGAAAAACCTACCAAATTCAAAGCAGGTAACAAATATATACGTACCACAGTAAAAGCAGGTCAAGAAAAACCTACCAAGGTAAAAGCAGGTAAAGAGATCCTCTATCAAAGGGTTCAGATAACACTGATGTAATGAAAAAAACTCACAAAATCTCCCCATCAAAAGAAGTAAGAACTTTATTTTGGTAGTCTATTTAAACTTTATGTTTAAAGCTTGATTCTGGTATTTTAGTTTTTTGTTTGTTTGCAAATCTCTGTTTCAACCTTTAAGAAAAATAGCACATGCAAAAACTCTTTAACAATTGTTTAGGACAAAAATGTCCTCGCAATTAACGAATAAACCTGATGTATGCAGGTTTTAATAGATTAGTTTTCTTTTGTTTCATCTGAAGATGAATTTTCTTCTAATATTTCTGTTCTTTGGTGTTTCAGCTCTATGGCTCCATCTACCGGGTGTGAGGACTCAGTGAGTGGTTTCTGTCATAAATCACAGCCAGAAGACCAGACAGCTGTGTGCTTCGGGCTCTTTCTGCACTTCCTGTTTTACTTTGTAGAGTAACCTATTTCTGAAAAACCAGCTTTCTGTTTGTAATCATCTCCTTTTGTTTCCTAACATCATCCAGCTGTGTGTGTGTTTGGATTAACCCATTTTTCTACTACGCCTTCTGAGTCTTTCTTTCTTGTCCCATCAGTCTACGGTGGCTCAGACAGTTAAACGAAATACAAAGTTTTGAAAAGTGGAAATTAACACTACTAACTGTTGTAAAAATACTTAAAAGGTGCACGATGTAAGAATGAAGTAAGAATGACATCTTGTGGTCAAATTTGGGAACTGCAGCCAATTTTCAAAACACACAGGTGACTCTCTCACGTCCGTTCCGTGAGTTTAATGGCTGTTGCCATTTAGCGATCAGCACCAGAAGAGTTGACTAGTTATGGTCAAACGTGGGAACTGCAGTCCATGCGTCAAACCAAACGAGTCCGCTCTGAGTAGCTGTTTCCAGTTACGGATCAGCACGAGAAGATTCTAGATGACGAGCAAAACAAATCATTCACAGTCATTCACAATACTTTAATCACTTTTGTGAATCGCCTACACCGATGGCTTAATTACTTATTCACCAGGATACAGGCATGTATTTATTTGTTGAGTTATCCGATTGTTTGTTTTGCACTATCCTACTGGGTACTACTGTACATTATTTTTTACTGTATACATTGTATATCTTATTTCTATTTCACCTGTTCCTTTGTCTCTCCTACTGCTTTGAGCATGTACATGACACAAGAATTTCCCTCGGGATAAATAAAGTTGTTCTTATCTTATCTTAAATGATGAGCATAAAAACATTTCACTTTAAAATTAAGTCGTTTGTATTGAAATATTAGGCTGGGTTATTTTCACAGCTGATTATTTCATTCTAATTCGCTGTAGGCATTGTTAGCTCAACGTTAGCATCTAGCCTATTTCGCCTGATATTTGAGTAAAACAAAAAGATGCTGTGACTTGTTAGAGGTACAAGATATAACTTCTGGGCTGCTCCTTTTACTAGTAAACACACTTTCCACAACTCTGGAGTGTTTTCCCAGCTTGTATCGAATCACATCTGCTGGTGCAGCAGCACTAGCTGGTGCAGGCTCGGCAACCCTGCAGGGTCACAGATTATTAACAAAGACTATGTTTTTTATAGGAGAAAAACTGGCCTCCAGCTAACTGAGAAGGAAATCTGTTTCCATTTAAACTTCATGATGTTGTTATTATTTAACAGTTAAATGATCACTTATTGTGCCTTTAAAGCAGAAATAGTTTTTCTTACCACCTAGAGGTGGAAATATGCATTGCACTTTAAGCCCCTCCCCTTTCTTCCATTATTACAGCTGAAAGTAACGCCTCATTCATGAATGTGCACCTCTAGCCAGCTAACAACGGTAAAACACATCACTTTACAATTATTTTATTATTTCTATATAAATATTTTAAAGACTCACTTGTCCATAAGAACTGTTGCCAACTCTGCATCTGTCCAGGTACGTCCTCAAAGGCACACTCTGTGACTGCCATCTGTCCGTAAGCGGATGTCTATCGCTATTGGCTAACGCTGAGTGACGCTCAATTCAAACGGGACGGGCTTATAAAGACTATTAGCGTATTGCCTAAAATATCTCTCTAACCAACACGCAGCAGACAAAAGGCCTGAAAACTGAATTATCAACCTGACCGAAGAAAAAAATGACTAAAAATGACATTAAAACCTTAAAAGTTTTATTAAATAATTAATCACATCACTTAATGGCAAAGCAATATTCATTTGAACACCTAATAAAACAATGTGCGATGGTATAAGTGCATTTTACGGTGTTTAATATCCTAAAAACTGGTGAAGAAGATATTAGAAAACTATTTTCAAAAACATGTTCACATTAAAAATGTACAAACGTGTTTCTGCAGGCTGCTACTGAAACGGTTTTTACTTGTCACCACTTGATGTCACTGTGCTTCACCTGATGCACCTTCATCAGGAGATTCTAAGTGTGTGTGTGTGTGTGTGTGTGTGTGTGTGTGTGTGTGTGTGTGTGTGTGTGTGTGTGTGTGTGTGTGTGTGTGTGTGTGTGTGTGTGTGTGAGGAATCCACCAGAATCTGACTGGTGGCATGGCATGTGTGTTTAAAAATAACTCAGAGGATAATCCAAAGCAGATCATGTCAGTGTCTCACGTCCTCATGAGAGTCAGCTGATGTTGGGTTTAGAAAATCGTCGGAATGCTGTTGTCTTTTCTTTCCTCTGGCTGATCGCTCAGTCTCGTCCTGTGTTGGTAAATGTCTGCCAGCAGCTGGACAGAGAGACTCCTGAGTCACCAACATATCATCAAGAGCTTCATTTGTTTTAATTTATGGGTCCATTGGGAGGAAAGATGATGGTTATTAGATACTGACCTCAGTCTGACCATCACTTTCCCAGCCTTTACTGCTTGATTTGCATCGGCCTCCATCGGTGTCCTTGCCATCACGGCTTCTCTTCTACATCCTCTTTCGTTTCCCGCTTAATCGATAAAAGAATCTTCTGGAAAACGTTCAAACAAGCGTGACAAAACGTGGGTTTTTAAAGTTTGCACCTGAGAATTGTTGGCTCAGAGTCTGTTGACGTCGCTCACCAGACTTCTCTGTTCACAGTGCTCATGCTCCGAGGTGAAACCAGTGTGAGAGCAAACATGACCACACAGACACGCTCTGTCTCACACACAGGAACTGTTTCACACCTGTATGCAGCCTTCTGTTAGCGTCAGACAGAATCACGCTGCAGGGTCACACCACTGTAACAACATAGCTTCATCAGTAGCACAGACCGCTTTAGGGCACTGGTGATTTTGGTCACTGGTCTCTTTCACAATCGATCATTAAACTGGCCAATGATGTGAAAGAGAGTGCATCCGTACAGATCACACCTGTAGTACATAGCTGTTTGAACATCCTCAGTTTAGATATTATTTCTGATCAGATTGATGAGCTATCCGCTAGTTTAACAAGCTAGCTGCTAATTTAACAGGTTAGCGGCTAGTTTAACAAGCTAGCTGCTAGTTTAAAAAGCTATCTGCTAGTTTAACAAGCTATCAGCTAGTTTAAAAAGCTATCTGCTAGTTTAAAAAGCTATCTGCTAGTTTAACAAGTTATCTGATAGTTTAAGCTATCTGCTAGTTTAACAAGTTATCCAAGAATGAAAAGAATAGTAGCTGCTCTAAAATTTTATAATACGGTAATTTATTTATTATGCAATTATTTGTAAAGAATGTTATTTTTTGCGAGTATAATAGTAACACTGACAGTAAGTTGTAGTGCTATTAGAGCTGCCTGAGACAAGAAACCCTTATTGTTTCTGCCTGAATAACTGACGTGAAGCATACGGCAAGATGCAGCAAACAAGCATTTGTATGAATCACCTTAAAATCTTTGGTACTAAAGTTTGTCTGTTGGGTCTTCATCATGGATGAGATTTTGAAATTTTAATAGACCCCCACCGTTGCTCCCCATCCCTTCTGGATGGAAAGACACACCTCTTACCGCGCATGCAAATAGCCTAACGGACAAGTATGGTTTTTGATATTTTCC